TTCCAACTGAAACCTGCTATTTTTCTCAGATGGGCAATGTATTTCCACCAGCTTTGATGAGTCATGATCTCTTTATCAGAGTCTGTCGATATACGAGATCATACTTTTTGAGAAATTACGTCCCAAAGTTTTCCCTGGGTAAGCAGATATCGAATGATTTCCCCCAGTATAATAGCTTGTACGTTGACAAAAAAATATTTATGCAATTGTATTCGACGTACTTTATGTCGTAAAATGTTAACAACGTTAGAACGTCAAATCAGCAATGCCAATTTTTTTACGCTATGCATTGTATTTAATCAGGGGCCGGTCACATTAGCGCCCGGGGGCTAATCAAATACATAATGCTTGTCTGCGGTATTCGTCGAAAATTAATAGCCGTAATTGAAAATCGGTGTAGCGGCTAGCGTTGGCCATTACTCCCGCCAACATTGCTGCGTTTGAATAGATAGCCCAGTCGAAGGATTACGAACTCATATTTACTCATGAGTCGTTGCAGCACAGAAAGACATAGTCTCACGATGGTTACATTTGAATCATCAATCAAATTCTTTAGAACATAGTACTAAGTATCATGTCCTTTAAAACAACACACGACAGTAACAAAGAACTATCTCGAATCAGTAGAGAAAGTTAAGGTCCACATTTATAATCCACACTTGAGTTCTGGTTGATAAACCCTTAGATTTTAAACGAACAAATAACGTACCCTAAAGCTAACGCCGAGTTGAGATTTGACATTTGCACTTCACATCAAGCTGTATCTTTAAATTTTTTCTAAGTTTTCAGAGTTTCAAAGACCATCGCTGGTATTATAAACCTGGCATCTCGCAATATACAGGGTGTTCCTTAATGATATGCGAATATTTAAGGGTGTGAATCTACATGAAAAATTAGTATTAGTTTGTTTTATGAACTATGGTCCAAAAATGTTTCTTTTAAAGAACTCGGGGTGTTGAGGTATTAGGAAAAAATGGAAATTCATTAATATTTTCAAAACCGCTTCATATATTTCACTGATATTTGGTAGGTAGTGTAGTTGCATATTTTTCAATAACAAAAATAATTTTTAGCTTTAACAGTGGCGTGCGTACCGGGTATTGACTTCGATATTGTTTAAGAAAAAAAATGGTATGACAATGGTTTTTTGCTAGATAAAAATTATTTTTGAATTCCCCGTTCAATTTAAAACAAACGATCTCTGTTGAGTTGTTTTCCTTCGTTGCGACATTTTTGAGTAAAACAATAAAAACCGTCCTTTTGTCTAACTTGCAAAATTATTATTAATTTTATTGGAAAAATTAAACCACTGACAACATAAACATAACAGTAAAACCAACGAAATGATACAAAAATTGTTCCCCGTTCACTTAGTATGCATGCTTCCACCCTCCTTGTCATGGAATTGCGCACTCGTTGAAATATCCCTGGTGTGTTTTTTATTCTATCACAAGCTGCAACTATCCTTTCTGTTAATTCCTCTACAGTGTTAATGGCACTTGTCTACACTAGTGTCTTAAGATAGCCCAACAAAAAGAAATCTAAACTGTTGAGGTCTGGGGACCTTGGTGGCCATTCTTGGGGCCCACCGCGGCCAATCCAACGACTTGTACACTTTGTAAATAATTACGCCATCATGCATGTACCACATTTTGTTTCTTATTACTAACGGAACATCATCAAGCAGCAACGGCAACTGTTGTTGAAGAAAATTGAAGTAAGTCTGTCCGTCAAGTCGTCTGACAAGAAGAATGGGTCAATAAAGTGGTTGCCAATAGTTCCTGCCCATACGCAAAGTGTCCAAAAATGATTATTGTGGAAATTCTGAATGGCATTTCGAGAAAAATTAGCTTCGCCCGTGAACAGAATCATTGATTCATATTGCGGATTTTGTGATAAATCCATCTGACTTGCTCACCATTACCGTCGGCAAGGCCATATACGTAATGCATTTCCGCCATTTCTGCATTTTAATAATTCACCATTAATAACAAGATTGTAAAAACTAAATAATGAAAAAGATGTCACAGCGAACAGATTTGAATAACAGAGACTTGTCAGATGTCAAAAGCCAGTGACATATTCCAGAGCAACTAGATATTTATTGCTAAATTGCATTCTTCAATTATTATATTAATTTTCTCGGACAATAGAACGGTTTTCTATTTTTTTTACTCAAAAATAACGCATTTAAGGAAAACAATCCAAGAGAGCCCATTTGTTTTAAATTTAACGGGGAATTCAAAAATAATTTTTATTGGGCAAAAAACCATTGACGTACCATTTTTTTCTTAAAAATATCTAGTCTATAGCCGTACACACGCAACTGTTAAAGCTAAAAATTATTTTTGCATTTAAAAATATGCAACTTTATTAACTTTCACTACATACTAAATATATATAAATATATATAAATATATATAAAGTATTAATTAATTTCCATTTTTTTCCTAAAACTTCAACACCCCGAGTTTTTGTAAGGAAGCATTTTTGGACCATAGTTTATATAGGAAACTAACATTAATTTTTCATGTAGATTCACACCCTTAAATATTCGTGTATCCCTTAATGCTGCCCTTTGTCCTACTGGACTTGTTATCAAGATTCTCAAGGTTCGATTTTCCAATTCAAACCCGCTGGCTGAAAAACGAGATCCTGATTAGGGTCGCCCTAACACAATGTACGAGATATATCCCCAAAAACAAAGACCATCACCTCCTTCAACTTCTTCCCATTTGGGAGTTCAGGGTTAGGAACTTGATGTTTGGCAGGTGCGGGTTCAGAAAAGATTTGGATTTAGATGGTATTACAGTTGCCCTGAAGTGGTGGCGTCAGACGATTTGGATTAACCAATTAAAGTAGACTGAACGTCGGCAAATTTCATAGTCCGATCGATTAGGGATTATAAGCAAAATATTGCCATTGCATTCAATAGGTTTCCGTGACTGTCACTGACACGCTGTGAACCAAAAGAAAAAATACAGACACGGATGGTCTCAGTCAGATTCATAACTTCCTAATAAAGAAATTCATCAGGCTAGACCCTAAGAAGTTTTCATATTGGCTTAATATTCGTGACTTCTCATATACATACGTCTTTCGACGAATAGTCTGTGGTTTCTGTTTGGATTTAATTATCTGGATGCAGCAGACTCTGGCATCTCACATTTTGTTTTTTTATTTCTGTAAGTTCTACATCCCCCGTGGCGTATTTTCTGGTGTTCGGTAAGGTTGCTCTTTTTATTGCTCTTTATTCGGTTCTTTCTTTGTATCTTGTTTGTGATCAGATTTTAATCAGTAACTTCTTTAAAATATTAGGTATTTTTGTACTTTGTCGCAATTTATTTTTCCCATTTTGTAGCATTGAAGAAGACAATTAAATGTCGAAGCGTCGATTTTATGGGTAAACTACATCATTGAACACTTTGAGCATTAGATCTAAAAAACCAAATGTACGTAACGTGTTTCACCTACTGACGGCCACACGAAACGACAGAAACGTCAATAAATCCTTCAATTCTGCATCAATATTATGTATCTCTCTTATCTGTAATCACCAAGGTGATGGAGAAATATCTTAATAGGAATCTTCTAAAGTATCTAGGGCACACCACGTGATTAGCGACAGGTATGCTACACCAATGATCCAGTTCTGCATATTCAGTTCAAGAACCATAACAACGGCTTATCTTTTTTATAACAGGTGATTTCATGTAAATGCTGGCCGCGGCTCCGCTTTAGATGGCCCATGCGCAAGGTCCAATGTTGGCACACTCTCTCCAACATATCGGCCGGTATCTCACGAATAAATGCTTCAATATTGGCTTCCAGTGCGTCAATCATTAGCCTTAACATGGTCCCACAAGAAATAGTCCAACGGCGTTAAATCACACGATCTAGGCGGCCAATTGACGGGCCCCAAACGTGAGATAAACTGTTCACCGAACTCGCCTCTCAATAGGGTCATTGGTTCGTGTGCGGTGTGGCATGTGGCACCGTCTTGTTGAAACCACATGTCAACCAAGTCCAGCTCTTCCATTTTGGGCAAAAAAAGTTTGTTATCATCGCACGGTAGCGCTCGCCATTTACAGTTACGTTCCGGCCATTGTCGTCTTTGAAGAAGTACGGCCCGATGATGCCACCGGCCCATAATCCACACCAAACAGTGATTTGCTCTTGCAATGCTTCTGGCTAGTCTTCACTCCAGATGCGGCAATTTTGGTTGTTAACGTACCCATTCAACCAGAAATGAGCTTCGTCGCTGAACACAATTTTTCGATAAAAATGTGGAACTTCCTCCAACTTTGCCAGCGCCCATTCACCAAATTGGAAACGTTGTGGGAGATCGTGTGGCTTCAATTCTTGCACCTGCTGTATCTTATAATGTTTTACACCCAAATCCTGTCGCAAAATTTTCCACGTAGTGGGGTAACAGAGGCCCAATTGCTGCGAACGGCGGCGAGTCGACATTTCACGTCATCACTAACACTGGCGGATACAGCCTCAATATTTTCTTCAGTCCTCACTCTACGTCTGCGTGTTGGTGGTTTAATGTCCAATAATGTAAACTGGGTTCGAAATTTAGTCACAAGCTTCCGAATAGCTCCCTCAGTAGGCCGACCAAATTGGAAGCAGTGCTCGATGCACTCTCTTAATCGAGCATGAATTTTGATAGTAAAATTCAATAATTTGCAAGCGTTGTTCGTTCGTAAGTCGATTCATGGTTAAATTATAGACCAAACTGAACAAGTTTGATAATGACACAAGACACGATTCACGCGTCATCTGTCAAAAACAGTGTTGCCAAAAAGATACTAGCAAAAAAATCACCCATTATAAGTACCCTGATATTTATGATCTGCATTTCCTGTAGCCGCAATATAAATAAAAATGCTTGGAATTGAACTTTGCTAAATTCAATAAGCTGATAACAAAGAGAGAATATGCGAACTTTTTCCGCATCTTCGACCGTTTCTCAGGATCCAACCCGTCGTCGTTTTCTACGATTTTCCACAAGATGGCAATTCGGAACCCATTTCGCACTCGATATCTCTCAAGCCCTCCTGCCACTCTGTATCATCTTCCTCGCGTTCCTTTAAAACTAAAGATATCGATTTTCTGGTTTCGTCGGAACCGGTGAATTTTTATTACATTTGCAGCGCGTAAGACCACAATTACATTTGTTTTGTTTGTTACTTTTTCTGTCACGTGTGTATACGAGTATACAGGGTGTTTCAGTTTATTGTTGCATAACTTAGAGATTCGATAGAACTTTTAAAATTAATGCATAAAGTCTATATAAACATGGGTCGAAAAATGCGTGGCTTCCGAAATACAGGGTGTTTAAATTTACTTTATAAAATAGTTTTTTTTAAATATTTCGAACAATATTTGATGTATAACAGTGAAAATTGGTATACAAGGGTTTTTTGGAACGACAAAACGAACCATGGGCATAGTTTTACTGTAGCCGCTAGAGGGCACTCTCTACTGTACCTGTAGTGTATTAAAATGACCGAAAATTTTTTCTCAGTGCAATTTTTTGATGTTTGAATAAAAAAACTGATTCATCGCACTTTTCAACATAAAAAAGCTTTCCTGTGAGTTTTCGTTATAGTTAGCCGTTTTTGAGATATTTCGATTTTTAAGGTTGGATGCATTCTTAATTATTTATGGGAAAATAATATGTTTTTTACATTTTCGATTTGGGCATTACAAGTAATTAAGATGATCGTTTAGATTGTGTTTTTAAACACAGCAATAATTCCCAACTCCAAATAAACACAAAAAACAGAATATTAATTTGTTTAATTTTCCAATATTATTTTTAACAAATTAAATTAATTATTTACAACTAAAATGCTATTGGATAGTTAGGACAAACATACAAAATCTAAAGTAGTTGCTCGAAATGTAAACCCAATTGTTCAATACACAATTCACATGTACGAATGATCGAACGTGGTATAGCATTATTCAAATAAGGCCTTATTTCATCACATACATTCCTGATTCTTTCTATTAGCATATCTCTTGTGGTTACGGGAGTCCGGTAAACTTTTTCTTTTAGAAATCCCCACACAAAGAAATCTAATGGATTTAGGTCAGGGGATCGTGGAGGCCAGGCGACTGGTCCTCCACGGCCGATCCATCTTTCTGGATAATTTTCGTCCAGCCAGTTTCTAACTATTCTCGAATAATGAGCTGGACAACCATCAAGCTGGAACCAGGCCAATCTTCTTAAATCTAACACAACATCATCCCAGATATTTGCATGTTCAGCCTTTAAAAATTCCAAGGTCGCAGCATTTAACCTTGCAGGCAAAAGGTAGGGTCCAAATAGTCGATTACGGTAGATACCAATCCACACGTTCACACTAAATTCATGCTGAAAATTTCTTTCCCGAACTGCATGCGGATTTTCATGCGACCAAATATGTGGATTATGAAAATTTACCACTCCACGTCTAGTGAAGCATGACTCATCGGTCCATAAAACGTTACTTAAAAGCTCCCTATTATTATCAATTCTATCAAGAATCCACTGACAAAATGTGATTTTTCGTTCTCCGTCCCCTGGCTGTAGTCCTTGCACAGGTTGCAAATGGTAAGGACGTCTATGGTCATTTCTAAGAACACGGTGAACATGGCTTGCTGAAATTCCCAAGGCACCAGAAACTCTCCTAACACTTGTGGTCGGATCTCTATCAAACTCACGCAAAATCATACGGGTAAATCTGTGCTGACGAACATTTATGTTTTGATCCCTTTGGAGATTTCCAAAACCATTTTCAATTATTTGGCGATGCACTCTTATAAATACTGAGCGAGTTGGATGTCGTCTGTTTGGAAATCTTCGTGCGTATTCTCTGGCTGCTTCTGCTGCGTTTCCATTTACAAAGCCATACACAAAATGAATATCCGCTAACCCTTGATTGGAGAATAAAAATGGCATTTTTATAAGACTTACAAAAAAAAAACAGGTAAAAGTTACTAAATATCGTGCATTCACAATTGCAAAAAAACGTTTCAGGTTTCAACAGACAACAAAACTAACTGTCAACTAATTGACGTTTAACCTTAATTCTGCTTTCAATTTAAAAAATATTTGCAGGCACAGCCTACTTCTAAAAATTATCGAGATACTGACTTTTTAACGTTATTTTATCATACATAATTACAAATGCATCGAACCTTAAAAATCGAAATATCTCAAAAACGGCTATTTATAACGAAAATTCACAAGATAGCTTTTTTATGTTGAAAAGTGCGAAGAACCAGTTTTCTTATTCAAAAAGCAAAAAATTGCACTATGAAAATTTTTTCGGTCATTTTAATACACTACAGGTACAGTAGAGAGCGCCCTCTAGCGGCTACAGTAAAACTATGTCCATGGTTCCTTTTATCGTACCTAAAAACCCTTGTATACCAATTTTCACTGTTATACATCAAATATTGTTCGAAATATTTAAAAAAAAACTATTTTAGAAAGTAAATTTAAACACCCTGTATTTCGGAAGCCACGCATTTTTTGACCCATGTTTCTAGAGACTTTATGCATTCATTTTAAAAGTTCTATCGAATCTTAAAGTTATGCAACAATAAACTGAAACACCCTGTATATGTCGGCCTCAAACACTGAAATCCGTCATTCCCTGAAATGCCTAGTCAGTCCCCGTATTGCCGGCAAACAGCTTAACAGTTTGATTATTACAACGCTTGACTAAGCATTTCAGTCATTCCCCGTAATGACTGAACAATTTCAGTCAAACACCGTAACAACCACATTAACTTCGTTGCTGCATCTACCTGATTCAGTCATTCATTGTACCAGTTTTGTGTTCATTTGCTTGAGTATACACATCGACTTTTTGTATTTGTAAAGATGTCGCAGCATTCAGAATTGTTTTATAAGAAACTAAGTGAATACTATGACAGAGTGAATAAGAACAGACCATGGAATACAAATGAGTTAAAGGAGGTAATTTTTATAATTTTGTGAACCTAACCTAAATTATAACGTATACAGGCTTGCTCAACAGCAGCATCCATTGTTGCCGGATTTCGTATAGAAATACTGGATTAAAAAATATAATTCATCCACGCTGGAGTTATTTATATCAACAATACACGCCCTGCACGCGCGTTTCGCCAACAGTATTGTTGCGGTATTGTGAATATGTATAACTTTATACAATAAAAATGAAATGAAAAAATAATGTTTGAAATAATATAAAATATAGGATAACTCTATGTAGCTTTTATTCGTTTGTCACTACTCGCAGTTCTGCATTTTGTTTTTTGTTAATGTGTATTGTTTTATATTTCTTTCGATAGTTTCAGGATATTTCTTGTTGATTTAATACAGTAATAATTAATGTAATAATAAAGACAACGCTTTAATCTATTCTTCTTTTCTTTTAGTTTAACGCATGCTTGATTATTATGCTTTTAATATTATTGATAAAGTAGTACCTTGTTATATTATGTACTTCATTGGAGCACCACTGTATTGATTACAGCGTTTGACAAAAATAGGCGAATGCAGTAACGAAGCTAACGTGGTTGTTACGGTGTTTGACTGAAATTGTCCAGTCATTACAATGAATGACTGAAATGGTCAGTCAAACATTGTAATAATCAAACTGTTTTGGCGTTTGCCGGCAATACGGGAACTGACTAGGCATTTCAGGGGATGACGGATTTCAGCGTTTGACGCCGACATATACGAGCTGGCTCCGAAAACAGTGGCTATAATTAAAGGATCTCTACTAATGTCATGGCATGTCTCCTGACAAATCTTTTACAGATTCCTTGACAACCCTTACCTATGGACAAGGACGCTCGCAAGAATTTTTCTCAGTGGGTGAGAGATACATTTTGGTGGAAGTTTACCTGTCTCAAAAACCTCTTGACGATCAAGGAATAGCAAATTTTTTCAGAGAGGGCAACCTTTAAGATAATAATAATAATAATAATAATATTTATTTACTCTAAAATACAGAGAACATGAAACGAGTAAATAAATATAATATATCCATAGGAGGACAACGCCTGTGCATGGATCATATGTATGTTGAATTGCAAAATATAATAAAATAGAGAGAAAAAAGAAATTATTGGTAAGAATGGTAGAGCATTTATTGTGTAATATTTGAGATTATTTTATTAATTTGATTTCTCCCAATCGTGTTAATAAATTTTTTAAATTTTTTTTTTGAAGCCTAATGTATTGCGTAATTGTTTTAAATAATTTGGTAAATGTTCGTACAATTTTGGAGCTATATACAGGTGACATCGTTTCATTAGGGATTTGTTTGGTTTAGGAACATTTTTTGCGCGTAATTTATATCTGGTTTTATGATTATGTTTAATTATGTCGTGTTCACTAATAGTTTTGTGATAATGAGTGATGGTATGTAAGAAGTAAAGTTGTTTAGTATCATATACTTGTGCATCATTATATAAGTCATTAGTTGGGTATAATTTTGATTTGCCTAACATTGATTTTAAAATTCTTCTTTGAAGTACATCTAAATCGTTAAAGTATGTCGTGCATGCAGCACCCCACACTACTATACCATATGTTATGTGTGGCTCGACTAAAGCTTGATATATTATTCGTAGATAATATTCAGTTAATATACCGGTTAGAAATTTTATTTTATATGCTATGAATCTAATTTTCTTTAGTATGTGAGAAATATGTACATCCCACCTCAAGTGGGGATCTAGATAAATTCCTAAATATTTTGTATCATTAACTCTATTGATTTTTATATTTTTATCATTTACCTTAAACCGAAGGTGGTTATATTTTGGTAGATGATTAGATAGTGATGAAAATGGTAAAAAATGAGTTTTAGTAAAGTTAATTGTTAATTTTCGGTTATTAAACCACTGAATAATTTTGCAAAAGTCATTTTGGATAATATCTTTTAAGTCGTTCCAATCCTTACCTTTATAGAGTATAGCAGTATCGTCTGCAAAACTGACTATTTTACCAGTACTGTTAATTTTGAATATATCGTTTAAATAAATATTGAATAACAGAGGACCCAAAATTGTACCTTGTGGAACACCCCATTTAACA